CTCCCCCTCCCCCTCCCCCTCCAAATAGCTGCCAAAGGTATTTTAGGCATACACACGTACTCTTCTATTCATGACAAAGGATGCATAGAGCTTATATCATAATTAAGGGACCGTTTACCACTACAAATTAGGTAATTGCTAACTGTGTAAGGGGTTGTTTACCTAAATGCTTACCCAGTAAGTGCTTAACGTTAGAAGTTAACACTATAATTTTATTTTATTAGGTAAGATTGTAGTATATCAAAACGTATCATATACAACAATTTACGTGGTAAGTGCTTACCCGGATAAGAGTCGTCACCCTCATTTACAGGATAAGCATTAATTACCGGATCAAGTAAAAGTCCCTCCTAAGCTTACGAAATCAACATCTTGGTCAACATCATGGATAGGTAAAGAGGGGCTTGGTGGTAAGCGAAAACGGTAAACGAGTAGTAAACAACTCCAAACCACGAGTAACGAAATACGAGGTATTATAATCGTACTGAATCAGAACTCCATCTTCTTCTATAACACATCACAAGAAAAAGGTATTTAAATTAAACATACAAATAACTTTCATTATCTAAAAATAGAAGTTCTCCAAAAATATCTGCCCTAGAAAGTTACCAAAAAGAGCATCTATCAAGAAATCTATAAAAAACCATAAACTTGAAAACCAGCAGAGAATACATATGGCTTCATGCATAATAATGTAAAAGGTTCTTTTCATAGAACTAGGAAACCATACCTGAAGAACTGGAGCTTTTGTTGTGTGTCCTCGTTATGCAAATTTGAAGTTTGTACTCGGGAACATCGTGCTTGTAACCGACAAACTGAATGAAATGGTTTACGTGATTTTCTTGTTCATGTTTGAAAAAAGTTGGCGCATCTGAAATCTCCAGAACAAGAAATAGGCGAAACCAAAACCGATAAGAACGTATACCCAAATCGCCTCATCTCCGCTCTCATCCTCTGACCTTACCTCCAATATACTGAATTGATCCCTTTGTAAATTGCCCATCATTCCTTCTTTCAAGTGACCGTATAACACGTACACCCTGTCCTCTGCTCCTGTGGTCACTGAGGTGGGGAATCTGTCCGAGTCAAGGGCAGTTTCGTCATACACCACACCATCACTCCAGCTATCGGAACTCTTGATGAAGTATAGCTTGTATTGTGACACCACCAAAAGAACACCATCACTCCTAATCGCAATCCCATCAGGGGCTGTCAATGCCCTGTTTAATTGAACCTTTCTTGCTGTTCCATCTTCGGAATCGACTTTGTATAAGTTGCCGGTATTTGACTGAACAACAAGGAGGTAGCCTTTACTAGAGTACGCAATGCCGTTGAGCCCACACGAACTGTAGGGCGTGGTAGGGTCCACGGGTGTTTTTTTGAAGATTTTGGATTCAGATAAAACAGAAACTTTACCTTCAAGATCAACCTTCCAGATCAAATTGCTGGCGGAGTTGGTCACGAAGGCGTTCCCAGAGAAATCAACGGCCACGTCATTGGCTCCAGACGATGAGGTGGTGGATGCAGGGTCATGGAGTGTGGCAAGAAAGAGACGACGGTGGGGGGTGCGTAAGTCATAGGCTGCAAGGGCACAATTGGAAGGATCTGAACGGGGGTGGACCACCACTAGCACACGGTTACGGATGACATCCACAGTGATGCCGAGGAAGGAAGAGTCTTCAGGGAGGGAAGTGTCGGAAACAAGGGTGTTGACAACACCAGCATCAGACACGGATAGGAGGGTTGGATAGCGGAGGGAGCCAACGAGGAAGTGCTGGGCTGTTGGGTCCCATGACATAGACTCAGGATAAAGGTTGGGTGACCGGAAATTGATTAAATGGGGTTTGCTTGCAAAACTTGGGGCTTGGAAGAGGCTAAAAACAGTGGTGAAAATAAGTATAGAATTGGTTATGGTGAAAGACATGATTGTTGTAAAAAATTCCAATCTGTTCAAATCAAGAATTTGCTGTAGCAGTAGTTCAAATTGGAAGAGATCTCTCACCTGAAAACAAATACAAAAGATTTCATATAAGTGCTTGTAGATAGTTTGGTGACTTCTCTTGTAACAGAAGTTAGAATTTTGCCACGGTCAAACCAGACATAAAATAGTTACTCTTCTTTCTCAAGACAACAGAAGGTCAACAGATGGAGATTAAATGCTGTATCCAATTTCATATTTATCATACAGATGAACAAATCCCCAAAACCGGTGACTTGGTAAAGATAAGGCTCATCAGCTCTGCAAGGCTTGGGGAGGGAAATCTTTGTACAGTCTTCCTTAGCATATTTGCAAACGTGTAACTGTTATGCATCCCATGACCTTCTAGTCACAAAGAAGTGAAGGACTAAAGGAGTTATGTTTCCGTGAACAAATCGTTCTAGGATTCTAAAGTCATATAGGCCCTTGTTAAGATCAATGCTTACACACGAGTAGGATCAATGTTCACAACAGTGCACAATGATATTTGTACAGAAAATAAATAAACATGACAACAATACCTGAATGGTTTATCAATTTGTCTTACATTTAAATTCTAGGGTTATTATTAGATCTCGTGAATTCCACAATTCATACAAAGAAAAGGCAACACCAATTGTAAGCAAATCGAAAACGTATAAGAACCACAAGGGCTGTGGCGTAGTAATTGAGGCCATGGGAGATGTGGAATATCCCATTTGGTCAGGGTTCGATTCCAGGCCTACACAACAATTGTGCATTAAGTTTATCCGTGTTGATTTCTTGCGATCACAATTTGCCGGGATTAGTCCACGCATAGCCCAAAACACCCTTCAGAAAAAACTTATAAGGCTGGAACTAGTGCTTATACTATCGGAATCACGCTCTAAATCAACAACATTCAACAATCGTGATAACCGATAAGGACTTCATGTCTCTAGAATTGAGTGTGTGCTTCATGGTAGTGCTATTGCTAAATTCATACAAGAATCTGGTGTACATCTATGGAATTGAACACATAATTGACTAAGGATCTGAAACATAATTCTTATGCAAGGTCCGAAAATCCATAGCTTCAGGTAACCAGTCTAGTTGATTCACCTCAAAAAGAATCTCAAACCCTACGTCTTGGTATCTCCGTAATTTGTAAAAGACAGATCAATCATCGTAACAATGCCTCTCGAGGTCTTCCTCCATTGTTCCAATAATACGCCAAAAAAACAACAAATTTGACTTCAAAAAACAAAATTGGTAGAAAATAAATAGAGATTAGGGTTCCAAACCTGTTATTGGATGCGGTGTCGATAAATCTTCGATGCAGATATCTAGGTTTCTGCAAATTTCTATAAGTTAGCAACTTAATAACCGATTTAGAATACAGAAACAATAGATATCTAAAATTCCCCAATGAGTGGAATGTCTTCTTTACTTGTTCATGTTCATCTTCATCTGATGCTTTTGACTTTTGACAGTTCCAATGGGAGTTGAAATTTCGTTTTGCTATCCAAACTTTTGGGCGTTTCTCAATTTTGCCCCACTAGTTCCATTTAATTCATTCTAACATGCTTTTATCTTATTCTGATGCTTTTTCATCATCTCGGTCAATCAAGTCCATTTTTTAAGAGATGGCCAAATGGGTCTGGTCCACCTCAGGGCTTGTGAAGGACCGGGACAATGGCCGACTTAGAACCGGCCTGGTCCAAGACCGATTGAGACTGGTTTGTGACTGTTGGTTAAAGGCCGGTTACAATTTTCGTCGAAAAACAAAGCTTAGTCCAAGACCTGTTATAGGCCCGACCCGGGACCGCCTCGATTTTCCCAAAAGAAAAGTATTTTTAAATGTATTTCTTACTTTTTAAGTATATCTTATTAAAGACCAATTCTAAAATTATAATAAAACGTATTTTTTAAGTGTATTTAATTGTTCCATTTCCCTCTGTTCACTATATATAAGTCATATGGTATATGAAAGAAGATAACAATTCACAAACTTTCATAATTCTCACAAAAAATGTATTTTTAAGTGTATTTATTGACCCAATTGCTTATTTTCCGGTCTAATCCTAGTTATGCCAAACCTCAAACAACTCGTCATGTCTAATTTAACCCAAGTCCTCTTATTTTATCCAATGTTCAATACAATTCAATCCATTTCTGTCTGCGTACCAAATACAATATAATAGATTCATTCAACAAACATAGTGTTTTAGACAACTTAATTTTACGAGCTTGGCAACAACTCAATCTTATCACAAAAATCTAGTTTTTGAATTTGATAGTATATATTATCGTATTTCACATTTTAGATTGTGAAAGAAAAAAGACAGAAAAATAAAAACAAAAAATAATTCCAGATTAAAAATATCAATCGTCCATAAGTCAATAAATATGGCTAATTTATAATGTTATGTTGTATTTACGGCTTTTATATATGTTTAGTACGTTAGAAAATATAAATACAAGTAAATAGGTATAATATGAAAATAAATTAAATATCTATACTATATTATAAATCATTTGATAAAAATTCTTAAAAATTATTTTTTATGTATCAAGTACTGTTTATTGATACATTTTACTTAAAATTCAAGATTATCAAGTAAATTGTCTGTATATACAATTTATTATAGCTCCATGTTTGAATTTTTGTAACTAATCACATATAAACATAATCAAATTCTAGAAAAGTATTTCATTTTAAATATAAAAAATCTAAAATATATTTAAGATAATTATTGAATTTAAAATATTAAATATTATATTTATAAAAAAATTATATTATTAAAAAAATAAAATGTTTTAAATATTTAATTTAATATTAAAATCGATGTTTTTTAAAAAAAATTTATGATACCTTTATATTTATATTTTTTTCGAAAAAATAAAAACAATTTTTTTTCGATAACATATAAAATTGTATTATAACATCAATAAAAATAAAATAAAATAAAATATTAAAATTAAGATTTACCTTTGCTAAAATTACAATAAAACAGTAAATGAATTCCTGTACGTAAAAAGGAGAAGCTCAAGAAGTCTGGAAACTTACCATTTTGCACGGCTAAGAGAAGAACACCCACACACGTGATCATCTGCCCATCAAAGCCGAGAAGATATTTTCTCAAACTTGAAGAACATTCTACACATCTTGAACCGTGAATTCCAAAGATATTTTGGGATGCTGATTGATATTTAGCAATTTGCATGGACCCACTTCATCAAACCGACATTGAAACCATTGGTTGTGTTCTATATAAACCACCTTCCTCCGCCACCGTCTACCGCCGCATGAATTTTACAGCGAAGGGGAGAGTAATCAAACCGACATAGAAACCATCCTTGTTTGTGATTTGGGAATTGAAGAAATTAGACGGAGATGGAGTCCAGTCAAGAGTCTTCCTCATATTATAGTATTCTTGGCGTTTCTATGGATTCCTCCGATGATCAGATCCGCCGTGCTTATCGTAAGCTTGCTATGGTATTCTTCTCGTTCTAGCTCGATCGATCTGTTGCATATATGATTTTGTTTATGAACAGATTCTGACACTACAAAAATGCTGGGTATCAGCGAGGGAAAATTCCCTCGCTGATC